AAATTCTTTTCAAGCACAACCGATTTAGTGTCTGGGCTGATGAGGTTAATTTCAAATCGTCCAACCTTAAAAATAGAAATATTCCGATTAATTTAAACAGGCAAGGACCCAACGTGTTACTTTACACTTGACCTAATCATGCCGCCCCTATCAAGACATCTCAGACGCAACTCATTATCCAGTCACACACTCTTCAACTTCCAATTCAGCCTGGGTTTCAACTCGACCTGCCAGTGGCTTCTAAATATCTCTTCCCTTCTGGTTAAGAAATCATGAAAATGAAGCTAGTCTTCATTTCCAAGATATAAGAAACCAAGTTTAAGCCCTAACACACGCAAAAGGAAGAAGCAGCCTGAGTAATTCCAATAAAGCAAATATGACACACCAGGCCTTGTTTATCGAGGGGCACTGTGGAATTTCCGCCTCGGGAGTGTCTTAGAAGAGGACAAAAAGACAGACGTTCCGTTGTTGGCAGGAACTCAAGCTGAGGGGGGATGACTAGGGAACTTCTACAAGTCAGTGTTAGAAATCCTTTTAAGGGAAGCCTGACACTCTCTAGATCTTCCATAACACACACTTTGGAATGAAGGGTCTTCTTTTACATCAAGGCGGCATGCATCACAGTATCCTATTAACTTAGCCCCGCAGGGTGGCGAGGAGGTGGAATCCAGGCCAGGGTAGTGAGCTGGAGGGTTTGTTCATCTTTCATTTGTGGTTCGGAGTAACTGGTCAGGCCCTTTCGTCTGACAGGGTCAAATCAGTGTGCCCTCCTCTGACTCTCGAGACTTCCCTACTTTTATTTTTTTGAAAAGAAAAACTCTTTCTTGTCCATACTTCATCAGTCTCATATATTCATGTGTTGTTTTTTTTAAAAATCCCATGGCAGGAGGGTTTTTCTGTAGTGATATTTATTTTTTTTTAAATAACAACATACCATGTCAAGTATCAAATCCAAAATCTAACCAAACTCCTGCCACTGAGTTGATTCTGAGTCACAGCAACCTGACCGGGCACAGCAGAACTGTCCCTGTAGGCGTGCAAGGCTGTAAATCCTTGTGGCAATAGAAAGCCTCATCTTTCTTCTCAGGAGCGGCTGATGGTTTCAAACTGCTGACCTTGCAGTTAGCAGCCCAAAGTGTCTCCCACTGGGCCACCAGGGCCCCTTCACTAAGCATCAACCTAAGGCAAAAAGCAGCGGTGCAGTGCCTATGAGTTGGGCAGCGATCCACATGGTCGGCCGTTTGAAACCAGCAGCAGCTCCGCAAGAGAAAGACTGGGTTCTCTAAGTCTCGGACACCCACAGGGGGGTCACTATGAGTCAGCACTGACTCATACGTTTGCTTTTTGGCTTTTTATTGTATCCACCAGGTTTCTACAGTTCTTTCACTGCTTCTGTGCCTCCCCTGATCCTGATCTGTTACCCCTGGTCGATGCCCCTTCTCCCTCTCTATCTGCCTTTCCTGCCCCTTCTCCCTCTCTACCTGCCTTTCCTGCCCCTTCTCCCTCTCTACCTGCCTTTCCTGCCGCTGAGGATAAAAGACATAAAAGCAGGACTATCAGCTATCTAGAAATGGTCACTCTCTAGAGCAGCGATTCTCAACCTGTGGGTTGCGACCCCTTTGGGGGGGTTAACGACCCTTTCACAGGGGTCACCCTATTCTTAACAGTTAGCAAAATGACAGTGATGAAGTACGAGGAAAATAATGTTATGGTTGGGGGGTCACCACACCACGAGGAACTGTGTTAAAGGGTCGGGCATGAGGAAGGTGGAGAACCGTAGCTCTAGAGGGAGGGGAGCAGAATGAGAAACTGGTCAGCCAGTTGCTTCTCTCTAGAAACTCATCATCGCCTCCCGCCAGGGCAGGGCAGAGTGGTTTCAAGCTGGGCTGTGATCGGAAAAGTAAGCAGTTCGAAACCACCAGCTGCTCTGTGGGAGAAAGACAGATGGAGCGTCCTGTTCCTGTACGCAGTTACAGTCTCAGAAAAACACAGGGCGATTCTGCCCTGGCCTACAGTCTCGCAGTGAACAGGCATCGACTCAGAGGCAGGGAGTTTGGTTGGGTGGTTTGGGAGGGCAAGTACTATTGTAGGTTGGCCTGCTAACTTCAAGGCCAGCAGTTCAAACCCAGCAGCTGCTGTGTGGGGGAAAGACGAGGCTTCCTGCTCCTGTAGAGATTTACAGCCACGGTCACCCAAAGGGGCACTTCTGTGCTACCCTGAGCCCCGATGCGTCAGAATGCGTTCCGTGGCAAGTACCTGAAAGAGCATTGTCCTGTTCTCCTCTGAGTCGGAGGGCTGCACGTGGCTGGGCGCGCTGGCATGCCTCCGGCGAGGCTGGGCTTTCTGGCTGTTCTCCTGCACCTTCCTCTGCATGACTCCGGTCACGCTGCTGCACCGAGCCCGAAACTCCTGCTGGTCGTCGAAGCCACAGTCCTCCAAGATGCGCTCCGGGAAGCAAGCTCGAGAGCTGGACAGCGCGGGCTGGCTGGCCACGGCTCGGAAGCCGGCGTGGGCCCTGGGGACGGCATCGGCTTCCTCCAGCAGGCTGTCTGCAGGCGGGCTGGGCACCTCGGCCTCGAAGACCATGAGGTCCTCGCCGGGGTCGGCGCTGGGCTGCTCTCCCTGGGTCCGCAGGCGCTGCTGTTCGTGCAGGCTGAACTTTTCGATGCAGTCGTCGATGAGGCTCGAGGGCGCCTTCTTGTGGGTGACCGTTGCCTTCCCGCAGTACAGGACCTCGAACTTCTGAGAGTTGTAAAAGGCGTCCTCCATGTCTTTGCTGGGCTTCGTGTCCTCTTGCATGGCAGCTTTGGACAACTGCCTGATGCTGCTAATAACATCGGGGACCTGGCGGCAGAGAGAGGAAGAAATGGGTAAGTGAATCGACAGAAATAAGTTACATGCGTCTGGTCCCGTTATGATCGCATGGAGTATGATAGTAGGAAGGAGACTTTTAAAAAACTGTGGAGAAAAATTCCACTATCTCTTAACTCTTTGACACCCCACCCCTGTATAAATAAAATACAAAAAGTAATAGTTAGTCCCTGTACAAGATAAAATGTAAAGCTTAAATTAGACCGAGGTGATTTGAAGTAAATGCTGATATTAAATGATAGCAGTATTATGTTTTCCTCTTTAAGTTAATTAGTTTCCCCAAAACCCAAACCATGAGACCAAGGTCACTCTTTCATTAACTACAGATGTCCTTCCAATATGTACTGCATGGGTGACTCAGTAGGGTGTTAACCCCAAGGTCAGCAGTCACACATACCAGGTGCTGAGAGAGAGAGGAGACCATCTGCTCACAAACTCACTGGGTGTCTCAGAAACCCAGCGTGGACGGCCTCTTCTCTCGTGGAGGTGGCTTTGAGTTGGAATCCACTCGATGGCAGTGGGTTACGTTTGGTTTAGGTATTAGAAACCTCAGCTGAAACGGTTCAAAGTTCCAAAAGTAATGATGAGATGCACTTTCTGGATAAAGAGATGAAAACCCAGACACCCCTCAGGAGCATAGGCCATCAAGGAAAGGCAAATGACAACCACAGTAAGATACCATTCTGCCCCCTACAGGTAAGCTGGCATCAAAAAGACCAAGTTCTGGCCAGTATTGTGGAGAAACTAGAATGCGCTCATCCAGTGTAGATGCGCATGTGCATAAAATGGTGCAGCTACTTTAGAAAACTGGTAGCTTCATAGAAAGTCAAACATAAACCTAACCTAGACACGAGCCAGACACGCCACTCCTGGTACTTATCTGCAACACCTGAAAACAAATGTCCACGCCAAGGCTTGTTCATGGCAGCATTAATCGGAATGGCCCCACGCGCGCACACCCCCAAATGATTCCCATCAACAGGTGAACTCAATCACTGCCACTCAGTGGATTTCGACTCGCAGCAACTCTAAAGGGCAGAGTGGAGCTGCCCCTGTGGGCTTCTGAGGCTGTGAAGTCTCATCGTTCTCTATTCCCCTTAGTAGCTCAACGCAAAAGCCTCTGTGCCACACGGGTTCTTTAACAGGGGAACGGATATACAGAATGTGGTATACAGTGAACCCTTGTTTATCACGGTTAATCGGTTCTAGACCCTACTGTGATAAATGAAATTCCGCGAAGTAGGATTCCTTATTTGTAAATCAAATATTTTCGTAGTTAGAGCATAGAGGACATGAAAAAACACCCTTTAGTCACCATTACACTCGTATTACCCAATTTATTAAACGAAAAAGGGAAAATACAGTAAAACATTTTGGACGTTACAATTATCATTTATTATTTATTATATTATTTATGGCATCTAGTTTACAGTATTACATATTTCACATACAGTATTATTATACATAGTCCTTACAAATACTGTAATCAATAGCCTATGAAATGACTTAAGGGATGTACTCTACAGGTGGGTCGCCGTTCCTCTGAAGGAGCGGGTGTAGGCAATGGGTGCTGTTATGCAAAAACCGCAATAGAGTGAAGCCGCGGAAGTCGAAGCGCGAAGTGGCGAGGGTTCACTGTATTAATGACAGGGTACTCATCGCCTTTCACCTGGACTGCAATAGCTTCCCGGGTGATTTCCCTTATAGCACCATACAAGGCCCTCACTTCCTACATACAGACATAGAGATTACATTTGCACAGCGACTATTCATTCTCTTCATGGCCCGTGGACTGCTTGATTTTCACCCTCATCTAACGTCCTCTGACATGATCACCTTCTTAGCTCCCTCTTCCACATGGACCTGTGGCTTTCCCCACATCATCTGCATGGCTCATTCCCTTACCTCATTTCAACCCAGGCTCTCATGTCACTCTAAGCCCTGGTGGCAAAGTGGTTATGTGTTGCACTACTAACGTAAGGTCAGTAGTTCAAAACCACCAGCCACTCCTCAGGAGAAAGAAGAGGCTTTCTACTCCCATAAAGATTTACAGTCTAGAACAGTGGTTCTCAACCTGTGGATCGCGACCCCTTTGGAGGTCGAAGGACCCTTTCACAGGGGTCACCCAATTCATAACAGTAGCAAAATTACAGTTATGAAGCAGCAATGAAAATAATTTTATGGTTGGGGGGGTTATCACAACACAAGGAACTGTATTAAAGGGTCACTGCATTAGGAAGGTTGAGAACCACTGATCTAGAAGAAACTGTTCTAGAATTGATTGTGATGAGGACTGTACAACTCTTCTTGTTATGACTACATTGATGAACCGTATGACATGTGGATGAAATGCCAATAAAACTTTAAAGAAAAGATTTACAGTCTTGGAAACTCTCAGGGGCTGTTCTCCTCTACCCTATTGGGTCAGTGTGTGTGAGATTTTTGGGGGTGGGGGGGGCACAAAAGGCCCTTGTGATGTAATGGTGAAGCCCTCAGCTGCTAACCCAAAAGATGGGCAGTTCAGATCCACCAGCCACCATGGGAGAAAGACATGGAGGTCACTTTCTGAAAAGACTGGTGACCTTGGTCACCTTATGGGGCAGTTCTACTCTGCGGGACAGGTCGCTCTGAATCAGAGTCGACTCACTGGCAATGGTTTCTTGGCGGGACAAATGATTCATGATGAAATGCCGGCATAAAGCTTGGCAGTTTGAACCCACACAGCGGTACGTCAGAAGAAAAGGCTGAAGAGCTGATTCCATTACGATTCAACCGAGAAAACTCTAGGTAGCACATGTCACTCTAACATCGGGGGTCACTGTGAGTTGACATCTACTGTCTGCCACAAATAACAAGATGACTTTGTGAAACAGAACCCTCTCTTCCAGCCCTGCACCACTGCCCTATGTGTGCACACAAACACACAGCATTTCCCGGCACCGAACACCAACATCGACAACATGTGTTTCTGATGAAGACTGGACTGTGGGCTCCAGAAGGGCAGCGGTGCTTGTCTCTCTCATTTTTCACTCTGGATCCCAATGGCCTACGATCATCATGGGTATGAAGTCGGTTCTCAATCTGCAAGGAGAGTATTTCCAAATAAGGTCACATTCACAGGGGTGGTGACAGGGGAGGAGAGGACTTAAACTGATCTTTTAGGTGGACACAGACCTTCAACAACCTGTAGGTAATTTTACCTTCCAATAACTCCAAGTGTTAACTTTACACCATAAAACACAGACAACAATTTTCATTGTGTCTAATACCCTCTCTCTGATTATGGCTAACCCAACTTCCAATGGCCTGGCTGCAGGGATTCATCACTGCCAAATGGATCCAACACCACTAAGCTCTGTGTTTGCTTGTTGTTAGGTAAAGACATACTTTAACACTGAGCTTTAAACAGCCCCTGCCTAGAGACTGGGGGCCTTCCCAGAAGGGACCCAGAGATAAACCACAGACAGTGCAACCCTCACAGTGGAAGAATGAGTATCAGGGGACCATGGGAGCCTTTTATCCTAGCATCTATTTAAGGGGTCAATCAGAAACAACCCAAGAGCAATAAAATCTCAGAGAAGCACTTGTACATACAAACAATATTTTGGAATAATCTCATTTTCTGAATCACAGTGTTAACTGACATGTGTGTACATTTTTAATTAATGTTTCATGACTTTATATTTGTTCATATGCAGGAGCCCTGGGGTTGTAGTAGGCTATCCATTAGGCTGCTCACTGCAAGGTCAGCAGTTCAATGGCACTAGTTACTCTGGGGGAAAAGCTGAGACTCTCCACACCAGTAAGGAGAGACAGACTTAGAAATTCACAGGATCAGTGCTACACTGCTCTATAGGGTCTTTTCCACAGAGTCGGAATCCACTCTATGGCAGTGTTTTTGCATTCTCATATGTATTGCATCTTCGTGAGGTCCGGAGGTGCTAGCAAATAGATGTTAGGCAGCTAATCCAAAGGTCAGTGGTTCAAACTCACCAGTCACTCCAGGAGGAGTAAGTTGAGGCTGTCAGCTCCAGTAAATATTGACAGGGTAGAGAAGCGTGTCTAGAGTCACTGTGAGTAGAAATTGACTCAATGGCAGGGGGTTATTGTACTGAGCTGAAACACCACGGTGTACTTCGTTATTGTACTTAGGTGAAACACTACGTGGGGGTGACTGTGTGTCTGACCAGAGTTCTTCCCTGTGGCTGCTGGGTAAGTGGCTATCCAGTTCCAGTTGTCAGTTCAGACTCATGATGACCCCACAGGTGGCAGAGTAGACC